TCGAGGGAAGCCTGTATCCCACGTTTGGGAGAGAGTTTGTGACTGGAGTGGGAGTGGGTACTGGGAACCTTGGGCATAGCCCCTACAGTTGGGCAGTGAAAGTCATGGGGTTGGGAGGTGAGAGGGGTGTGATGGCAGCTTCCTTGGGCCCCGAGGAACATCTGCAGCTGGAGATGAGTCTGGGGCAAGAGAGAGAGGACCCAGCTCTGTGTTTGGGGAGGGCCGGCCTGGGTAGCGGTTTTACCTGTGGGTGGAGGTGGAGAGGCTGGGGTCCAGCACTGTGGGGTGCTGGCAGGGTCACGGGGTGGGGAGCAGCTCTGTGTCTGGCTCAGGAGCAGGAGGTCTGTGCAGCAGTGTACTCTGGGTCTGAAGCTTGGGGCCCGAGTGGGGTAACGCCTGAGGGCATCAGGGAAGGGGATGGGTTAGGACGGGGCTGCTAGTGGTCCTGACCCTGGAGGCTTCCAGAATCAGAGACTCCTGAAATGGGGGATCCCCTTCTCCAGCCAGCTGTGAGGGAGGGGACGCAGAGCCTGGGGAACTGTGTGTGTGTGTTGGGAGAGGTAGAAAGGGAGGGAAAGCTGATGGATGAATTTAAGCCATTTACAGTCAGGGTTAATATGAATGGGTGGTAATTTGGTCCTGATACTTAGCAATGGGTTGTTCATTGATTTAGTATTCTGTTGTTATTTTACTTTGGTGGGCACTATTTCTTTTCTCTGTCACATCTTGAAGTATCATTTGTAGGGCAGGTTTGGAAGGGGCATATTCTTTCAACTTTTCTTTACTGTGGAAGAATTTTATTTCATTTTCAAAGACAAAGGAAAATTTTGCTGGATACATTATCCTGGGCCAGCAATTTTTTGCTTTTAGAATCTGGAATATGTCACTCCATTCTCTTCTTGCCTGTAGAGTTTCCTGGGAGAGCTCTCCTGTGGGTTGAATTGGCATTCCTTTGTATGTCAGTTGATTTTTTTTTCCCACATGCACATTTAAGGATCTCTTCTTTATGCTTGATTGAAGAGAGCTTGATTATCACGTGTCATGGTGAGGGTCACTTTTGATCAAGCCTGTTGGGAATTCTGTGCCCCTCCTGGATGTTGTTTCCCAATTTTTACTCCAGATGAGGGAAATTTTCTTTTATTATTTCATTAAACATATTTTTAAACCCAGCTTCTATTTCTGCACCTTCTGTAACTCCTATAACTCTTATATTTGGCCTTTTAATAGTGTCTTTCAATTCTTGAATACTTTTTTTTAGCTTGACCCAGCTCTATTTCCAGCTTTTTGTTGGTTTCCCCTTATGACAAGAAATATCTTCCAATTCTGTCATCCTTTCTTCTGCCTCATTCATTCTATTATAGAGCCTTTCCCCTGAATTTTTAATTTGTTCTACTGCATCCTTCATTTCCAATAATTTTGCTTGATTTTGTTTCAGTATTACTATTCCCTGTATGACATACTCCTTAAATTCCTGCATGTGCTTCTCATTGATAAGAAGCTTTATAACAAGTGTTTTGAATTCTGTATCCCCATTTTCTCCATGCATTCCTTAGTGAACTCAAGGTTGGCAAAAGCTTTTTCTCCTTTGCAGGGAAGTCTTCAGTAATATTCCTTGTGCCTCTGTCTTTTCTTTTGCTCTTGGTCATTGTACTTTTGGTTAGCAGATTCTTCTCCTTAGGGCAGGTTTCTAAGCTGTGTCATCCACAGGTCTACAGTTTGATTTTACTTATTGCGGTTGGTACACAGTTCTTTGTTTGTGGTCACTTGTGCCACTCTCTCCAGTGAATTTCAGATCTGAGTTCTTATGTTAGATTTCCACCATGATCTCTGTAGCCCCAGCTCCTAGCTTACCAGTCTTCACCTCCTGTGATTCCGTGCTGAAGCTGCATCATTGTCTGTACAACTTTTCTCCTACTTCCGGTTGGAGCAGGTCCCAGGATTTGGGAGACGCCAGGTGTCCCATATATATCTAGGTTATTGGTGGTGCTGATTTTGCAGGAACCTCTTGGCCATTAGGTCTGAGGGCTACATGGGGGGTATTTTGAGTCATAAGATGCCAAAGTCAGTATTATTTTCTCTGTGGGACCAGTGCAATGTCCCTCAGTGCAATACTGAGCTCATTGAGTTTGCTCCAAGCTCAGCACATGCACAACTCATTGTTGTCCCTGTAGTCTCAACGCCTTTGCCACACTGTACAAAATGGCACCTGATGTGCCACTTGTGGAGTTCTCAGACCATTGGCCATTATATCTGAGGGCTACCTGGACTTATTTTGGGTGGAATCTTGTAGGATGCCATGTGATTGCAATTCACTGAGCCAGAAATGAATTCACTCCTGGCTCAGTGCATGCTCGGTTCTGTCCATAGTCTTTGCTTCTCTACACAAGATGGTGCCTGATTTGGCTCTCCTGGGGGTTTGAGCTGTAAGAATCACCCTGTTCCCACACTACCTGTTTGGAGTCTGCTGCTCTCTCTCTGCTCCTGGTCAAATCAAACAAGCCATCAGGGCGGGCAGTTCTCTGTTTGGACTCACCCCCTGAGTTCCTGGTAACCTCCCCTTCCCGCCTGGTGGAGTTCTGGCCACTGGTGGAGTTTGGATCAGTGTTGGCTGACTGCCGCTGGTGTGTTGGGTCACTGTAAGCACCACACCACTGTCTTCACTGCTTTCGTGTGCCCATCAGTCTCCAGGTGTTGCTCTCTCGTCAGTCTGTCCTCGCTTATTTCCTGGAATGTATCTTTGCTCCACCCTGGCTAATGCTTCGCCATTGGTTTAAACGTGTCCTAACCATATTCCACCATCTTGATTCTCTCCAATGCCTGCTTTTAAAGGTGAGGAAACTGAGGCACAGAACAGGGGCCACACAGGACCTAAAGGAAGGATCTCCCTGACTTCTGGGCTAGACATTATCTTCCCACCTCCTGCCAGTCCATCTAGCGTGTCAGTAACATCCTGTGCTTTCCCAAAGGGCCATGGAGCTGAGTGGGGACCCTTAGCTGGGCACCGCTCCTGGCCTCCAATCACCCTGGCTCTTCTCCTCCTGGCCATGGCAGTCCTGCCCAGGCTGCAGGAAGGAAGCCAGGGCACTGGAGGGTGATCCCTTGTCTGTGACCCCATGTTAGCTCCCAGCCTGCCTGCTCTCTCTGTCCCTGTCTGGGCCTTGCATTCTGGGGTCTGATGCTCTGTTGCTAGGTCCTCCTCCTGCCTGCACATGCACCTTCTCATGACCCTTGTCCCTACCCTACTCCAACTGCTCCCAAGGGTTCCGATGTGTCTTCCCATTGGCTGAGAAGCAAATCACTGGAGGGCACCAGCCAATCAAAAGTCTTCCTCTGCCCACCTCCCTGGCATTCCACTTTGGTCGGGTTGGAAGTGAAGGACTTGCTGGGGAAGGGAGACCATGGTTCTGGCAGGTCCAGAGTGAAGCTGCATAGCCCTGGGACCCCAGGCAGACAGACTTGCACTGGCCTGGGCTTGAATTTTCTTGTCTGCTTTGTAAGTGCAATGGCTGGCTGTGGTCCTAGGTGGCCAGCAGCCTCTTGTTCACGAGTACCTCTCTGCCCAGCCCCAGTGCCATTGGGATTGGAGGGGGCCCTGCTGTTATCTGTGGGTCTGGCCTTGGCTGACATGGGGCTAGATCTGATAGTGCAAGTGAAATGGCGTAACAGGGCTCACTGCCTCCTGGCCACAAGGTTGCCCTTGTCCTGGCTTCAGCAGGACCGGGGGGGTGGAGGGGGGCCTTCAGGGTTGGTCTCATGGAGTGTCCTGAGTGTCTGGTAGGATGGGAAGCAATGAGTCACAGGTACTGGCTGGTATTGCCAGGGGCTGTAAGCTGGCTGTGGGCACCTGCGTGTGTGTGTATGTGTGTATGCGTGTGAGATGGGGGTCACCACATCCTGTGCTGCCTGAGTCTTAGTCCTGGGTGACAGGTGGCCCTGGGCAGGGTTGGAGGCTCCGCTAACAAGGATGGTCTATGTTGTTCCTAACAGGCTCTGCAGACCACAGTGGAGGCTTCAGTGCAGGGGAGTAGGGATGGGGGCAGGCCTCACTTGCTGCCTTCCCCTGGCGCTTCCTTCCTCAAGAATGGGCAGTGACAGAGCAAGGAGCTAACAGATGACCCGGGACTTACACTCATCAGCACATCTTCCATGAGTGTACCTGGCAAGGCTGTGAAGACAGGGGCATGCTCTAAACCTCACTCCATGCATTCCACCAGTCCTGGGCAGGCCTCCCTGGGGCAGGGGTAGTGGGAGGGGTGGTTTCTCTCTCCTGGGTAGGTGCCAGTCTCAGATGCTGCTTTTGTCCCGCACAGTGTGCATCCATTAGAATTGGGCTTCGCGAGCCGGTGCTGTGATGTAGAGAGCTAAGCCTCCATCAGCAGCCCCAGGATCCCACATGGGCACCAGTTCCAGTCTTGATTGTTCCACTTTCAATCCAGCTCCTTGCTAATGGTCTGGGAAAGCAGCAGAGGCTGGTCCAAGACCTTGAGTTATCTGGAAGAAGCTCCTGACTCCAGACTTGTCCAACTCTAGCTGTTGCAACCATTTGGGTGTGTGAACCAGCAGGTGGAACTTCTCACGATCTCTCCTTCTCACTCTGTAACTCTGTCGTTCCAATAAAAATAGATGGATCATAAAAAGTATTAGGTCCATTCCCAGTGATAGAAACATTCAAACCATAGTATTTGAAATCAGATGTTTATTTCGCTTCGACATGGATGAAGACTGGTGGGGTTTCGGTCCAGGTTTGCTATGATGGCTGTGTGAGCCTCAGGAATCCAGATGCTTTCTGTCTTATGATGTCATATGGCTGCCAGAGCTCCAGCCACTGTGTCAGCATTCCAGCCAGTTGGAGTGGGGGAGAGGGGAATCCCCATCCCGAAAGTCTCACCCCATAAGGATACTTCTCCATGTATCCTATTGGGTAGAATTTAATCACATAGCTGCACCTAGAAACTGTAGTCTTAGGCTTGGATGGTCACAGGGCGAGCTCCAGGTCAGGGGTCTGGATACCAAGCAGAAAGGTGGACGCAATCGAGGGTCGTGCTAGATGTCCTTGTTGCAGCCCGCTGTCAGAGTGGAGGCACCCAGGTGCTCTGTAAGGCCCACAGCCCTGTCCGGGCAGCAGCATGGCTGTGGGCCATAGGACTGGGGCTCGCCCCCTGGGCTCTGCCTCCTGCTGCAGCCCTTGAAGCCCCCTTTGGGGTGGCGGTGGTAGCAGGGGCAGCAGCAGGAACACACGCCCCCTGGGGTCTCCAGCGGTGAGAGGACGAGTTTTATGATCAAGGCTAGCCATGCCATCCCAAAGAGGATCCACAGGGACACCATGTTCTTGTACCACAGTGGGTACCTCCTGGAAGGGTTCATCTCTGGGAAGGAGGCAAGGGCAGAGTGGGAGTTGAGAGGCTAGGGTGGTGTCTGGGAAGGCCAGGACCACGCACCCAAAAGAGAAAGAGCAGAGTTTAGACTGACTTCTGGCCTACGGTTCCAGGAATTCACCCCAGATTGGCACTTAGGATTTGGAAACTCTGTGTTTGCTCCATCCCAGGAGTGCCGAGGCCATCAGCACCAGCGCCGGAAGTGGCAGTGATGGGGTAGAATGCATTCCAGACGAATTAAATCTGAAACTCCAGGACCGGGTGCCTAGTGGAGGAGGCCCACTGTGTGAGCAGCCGTCACAAGGTCCATGATGGGAAAGGCATGTGGACCTTGCATGTGGATTTCAGAGTCATTTTGTGTTGAAATGAATCTGAACATATTTGTGAACTGGAGCCGACTCCACCTGCCTGCTCTTTGCTGGGTAGGGCTTTCCCGTCCACAGACAGGAGAGAGCTAGAGGGGCTGGGGAGGGACAAGTACAGGCCTGGATCCCTGGGCCCGCTCAGCTCTCAACAGCTGTGTGGCCTGCTCCTGATCCAAGCGGGAACTGAGGAGACAACTTCCCCTCTTGGCTGATGTGCCAGTCCTCAGTGCCTGGTGCCCTGGCTATGTGTTCTGCACCAACTCCCCAGCCTTATCCCCGACTGTCACCTCCCACCTACTGCGGGCCCTTCTTAACTGGCTGTGCTCCTGGCTCCAGATGCACTTCCTTTGCAGCTCTTTGCCTCATCCTGACTGCCACCCAAGGACCTTTCACATCGCAAATGGACGTCGGTTCTTTGAGCCCAGATGAATTTCTCTCTCTCTCTCTCTCCTGGCCTTTCTCACAGCTTTGCTGACTAAGCTGCTTGCTGCTTTGTAAAACACAGGCTGGAAGAATCCTTGCTCCACCACTGCAAAGCCTGAATAAACTCATGCAGTCCAAGGGCTGGGACCACGGCCATGGTGCAGGGCAGGTGCCCGTGACCTGTCCTGGGTGCTCACTATCCAACTCGCTCCCAGATGCCCCTGGCACAGGCAGGGATCCCCAACACTTGCTGCAAATCCTGCCTCTGTCTTGTCAGGGGTCTGCTCCCCCACTTCAGCCCCACCCTCTGCCTGCCTTGCCTCTCTCATTGCATTGGCAGGATGTACAGGTGGGCCTGGCCCTCCTGCCTCCTTGCCATCCGCCCTCCGAGTTCCCTGTATCACTCACTCCCTGTCTCACCCTGCCAGTCTCAGACTCTGCGCTTCAGCTACTCCAGGCCAGGGCCCCTCTCCAGAACCCCTGCTCAGGGACAAGGCCACTGCTGTCACCACCTTGGAGCTGCCCTCCGCTGCCTGGCAGGGGTTGGGATTGGATTACACTGATTGTGTTAGGGCCCTCGATTCCGCCCGCTGGCGGCCCCAAATGAGATCAGCCACACAGGCCAGCATTTGGGCAATGCCACCCACCAGCTCCCTGACTCCCGGCCCCGGAAGTGTGTGTGTGTGTGTGTGTAGGGGGAATGGCAGGCATTCTTCTCTCTTGTTATTTCATTGTTTTTACTAAAAAAACTTCTGAGTGGCGGGGCCCCTGGCAGCTGGCAAGGCGCTCCACTGAAGTGCAAATGCAATTGGAAGGAAGCAAGGCTCGGGTGGGGTAGAGGGGGCAGGGGATGCTGGGAGACGCAGGAGGCCAGTGCCTGGTGCTGCTCTGGCCTCAGCCTTTGGCCATGAGGACAAGGCCCCTGGTGGCAGCTGATATAGCAACAGTGCATGCCAAATGGCCAGTAGAGGCCTCAGTATTTTTGTCCATGAAAGGGACTGACCCCCCCCCTCACCCTCATGTACCCTGGGGAGGATCGGCAGAGCCCAGCTTGGGGAGGAGGCATAAGTGTCAGAATGTGCATGGCATGAAGAGCACTGGATGGGAAGCCTGTCCTAGACTCACCCACGTTGGCACCTCCATCTGCACCCTACCCTCTCTGCGGCTTAATTTCCCCTCCTCTTGTAAAGGAAGCTACAAGGGCTGGCAGTGCAGTGCAGTGCCCGCCACGCAGTCCTGCACCAGCTTGCAGAGGGAAGGGGGACAATGGGCAGGGAATCTCTGGAGCCGGAAGAGGTTGCTATGGCCACTGGTGCTGCCCCAGGGAAGTGGCGCTCAGAGCTGCTGGGCTCAGCTCTCCTCAAATGTATCTCTCTGCTCTGAGATCAGAACTAGGGACGGAACTCGGCTGCAAGAAGGTAAGTCAGGACCGTGGGAGAATGCAAGGGTTTTGGAATCAAACCGATCAGGTCGCACACTCACTGTGCAGTATTGGGTAAGGGTCGCTCTCTGAATTTAAGCTTTCTCTGCAGTACAGAAGGGGTAACAGGTGGCCTGTCATGTTAGTGCCTAGTTAAGGCTGTGTTCCAGGCAGCCTTCTGTCCCCAAGAAGGGAAGGGTAGGTGTCCCCATCCCTCTGCTCCACACACATTAGGGCTTTGGGTTCAGGGGAAGGCTCAGAATCCACCTGCCCCAGTGCAGTGAGGTGGTTGGTGGTGCCAGTGGAGAGGGATCCCGAGGCTGGGCAGGGGGCCGTGTCACACCTATCAGGGTGTAGAATGCCCCTGCACTGCCACCTGCTGGCTATCTCCTCGTCTTTATTCTGCAGCCATGGTGGTGGGTTCTGCAGTTCCCCGGGGGCCTGTGGTGGGGCATGACCATGGACTTTGGCCCACTTCTGGCTCTCTGTGCTGGTGGTTCTCTGTGGTGACACACTTTGGCCTGGAGAGGTTGGGGTGTTGTGAGGGGAGCAGTTGGATGGATGGCTGCCAGGGAGGCAGGGGAAGCGGACAGCCCAACATGAAAGGGAAGTTAGGGACTGTCGTGTCTAGGGCACCTAGGGAATAATAACAGGGTGGCCGAGATGGGCAGGAACAACCTAAGAAAGGGGCTTGAGCCCGCCTAGGGACCCCTGGACTTGGGGCCTCCCAGACTCCCCCTGTGCCCTTGGACATGGCCTAGAACCAGTAGACCCCAGGGAGGGAGCAGAGGAGGGGGAAGACAAAGTGGGGACTCTCACCGATCACGTAGTCGCCGAAGCCCACGGTGCTGAGGGTGATGAAGGCGAAATAGAAGCCCTCCACGTAACTCCAGCCCTCCATGTGTGAGAAGAGCAGTGGGGGCAACAGCAGGAAGAGCAGGAGGCCCGAGAGCAGGGCGCTGGAACCTGCCAGCCAGCGCGCCTTGGCCGGGTCCTGCGGGAGCACACACACACACATGCACACACACCGCTGTGGCTCCCGCTGCTCCACCTTGGGAGGATCCGGCTGGTATTAGGAGGGTCTGGCAGGGGCAGGAAGGAGGCGGCTGTCCCAAGAGGCCCCTCTGTTGTGCTGGGTTCCATCTTGGACTGCCTCGTTCCTTTTCTGTTCACCAAGCCCCACCCATGGATGCCCCCTTTATTAACCTAAGACCCTCCCCGCTCCTCCAGGCTGGGCAGCTGGCCTGCCCCGGTTCCCACCAGAGCCCCTCACCTGCCAGGCTCCCCCCATCCTGCGGGCACAGCGGTGCACCACCCGCTGCATGAGGTGTCCCAGGCGGTTGAGCACCACCAGGTTGAGTGGGATCCCGACGAGAGCGAAGAAGATGCAGAAGAGGCGGGCAGCCATGGTCTGGGGGCTCAGGTTGCCGTAGCCTGCAGTTGGGGGGAAAGGAGGAACATTTTTAGACCTGCCCCCCACCAGACCTGACCACCCCACATCCAGCTCGTCCCAGATGTGAGGGTGCTCGTCGAGGCCTTCCCGTTCCATGTCAAGCAGTGGTCAGGAGCCAGATGCAACCTGACTCCCCGTTCAGCCTCACCACCCTTCCAAATCAGGTCATGCCTTGCGGTATGTAGAGCAGAGAATGGAAGGCTGAGCAGCGAGCGTGTGCTGCAGCCTACCAGGCTGAGCAGCTCTTATCTCTCCATCCTCTCCCTGTCCCGGGGTGGGCAGAGGCTCCAGCGGCCGCACCTGCAGGATCTGGGCTGCCTCTGGGTTGGGCTTGCTATGGCACCTGCTGCAGGTGTACCTGCCCACCGCAGCAGCATCTCCAGGGGGCTCTTGGCTCTGGGCTTTCTCAGAGCTGCCCATCCGATTCTCCTCCCTGCCATGACCTTTTGCAGGGGCCATACCTCTTGTCATTTGAAGCCTTCACCAAGTACTCCTGTGCCTTCTTTATCTTCCTGCTCCCGACCCTCCCCCTTCTTATGCCTTGTACATATCTACTTCCACACACCTGATTCCTGAAGGACGCAGGCCAACACCCTGGCTCCTGTAAACCTCTGTGGGAGTCAGGGCTTGGGAGCAGGGTGTGGGTGGACAGACACTGGAGGATCAGCCTGCCTATAACAGGTAGAGGATGGGGGCCTCTGTGGAAAGGGAGATAGCATGTCCAGCCAGGGATGTTTTCTGCCTGGGCAACCTTCTCTGCTGTCTTGTCTTTCTAAGATGCAAGCCTGGGGGCCATGCGTGGTAGCCTAGTGGCTAAAGTCCTTGCTTTGCACACGCTAGGATCCTATATGGGCCCCAGTTCATGTACTGGTGGCCCAGCTTCCCATTCAGCTACCTGTTTGCGGCCTGGGAAAGCAGTCAAGGACGGCCCAAAGCGTTGGGACCCTGCACTCACATGGGAGACCTGGAAGAAGCTCCTGGCTCCTGGCTTTGGATCGGCTCAGTACTGGCTATTGCAGCCACTTGGGAAGTGAATCAACAGATGGAAGATCTTCCTCTCTGTATATCTGACTTTCCAATAAAAATAAATAAATCTTTTTTTTTTTGAATGCTGCAAACCTGGTCACACCATCAGTCAGAGTCCAGCTCTTGTTTGTCCCCTGCCTCTGGGAAATCTCCAAATCTTTGTCTGCTTCTGAGCTCCTCCGGCCTCACTCCCATCCCTGCAGGCCTTGGCCCTCTCCTGCCCCTGTGTCTTTGAGTGTCTGCTCTGTCTACTAAGGGTATATGTCCTTTCCTCATTCTGTTTGTCCATAACTGCCCAGGGCTCTGCCCCGGCCGTGAAACAACCACGCTGTGTGGGGACAGTTTGTCCCCCATGCCTCCAGCATCCACCCACAGGCACTGGGGATCACTCCTTTTCCACACTCAGCAGTGGCACAGGGCCTGACATTTCTTGGGTGCTGGGTAAGCACAACAATGCCAGATGTGTGGGGTTGTGGAGCCTCCGCCACATATGGGGGTTGGTTCCAGTCTCAGATGCTCCACTTCCAGTCCAGCTCCTTACTAATGGCCTGGAAAAGTGCTTGGGCCCCTGCACCCACATGGGAGACCTGGAAGATGCTCTCTGTTCCTATCTTTGCACCAGATCAGCTCTGGCCACTGCCACCATTTTGGGAAGTGAAGTAATGGTTGGTAGATCTCTCTCTCTATAACTCAGCCTTTCAAATAAAAAGAAAAAAAATCTACCCATTTTTGTCCTTTCTTGTAAACCCTCTCTCCCAGAGCAGCTGAGCTTGGAAATAGCTGTGCAGACCGAGGCTGGATTTCAATTTTTGACTTTGTGGCTCCCCAGTTGTGTGACCTTGGGGGAAGTTGCACCACTTCTCTGCCTGTTTCCTCATCCGGGACATGAACAGAGCAATATCCCTGAGTGGGCAAAATGCACCTCAGATGTAGAAGTGCCTGGTACCGAGCCGGCTCCAGGAGGACGTCTGGGCGAACGTCCTATGCTGCCCTGTCCGACAGCTGTGTCGGCTGGGAGCACCTCAGGGCAGAGGCAAGTGGAGAAGCAGGGATGGGAGGCTAGTCTAGGCTAGGAGCCATGAGGCTGGGAAGAGGGAGGCCGTGGAACTTGCATTTGGTGGCCAAAGTCCTGGGCCTGGGGCAGTGGGTGTAGGAGGAGGGCTGGGATCTGGACACAGATGGGGGTGTCTGGTGCGTGATGCTGCTCTGGCAAGGATGGCCTGTCACCCCGGAACCTCTGCAGGGGCTGGCTGAATGCTGTGCACTGGAACCCCTAGAGTGGTGAGTGCCTGCTGTGTGCTGGGTCTGGCACAAAGCCCAGGACAACAAATACACCTGCGTATCTCCATCCCCCCTCTGCCGCTCCCTGCGGGGTCTCCAGGGCCCCGACACCTCCCTAACTTCAAGGTTACCAGAGTCTTGAGAAATGGTTGGACCAACTTCAAGCAACACTGGCTGACTTAAAACTACACGGAGGGATGAGTGTTTGGTTTGGGGGCTAGCACGCTGCACTGGTGTGCTTGCGTTTGAGTTCCAGTTCCGCCACCTGCTCCGGCTTCCTGTTACTGCTCATCCTGGGTGGGGGCGCAGCAGGTAGTGGCTCAAGTACTTGGAACTCTGCCGCCCATGTGGGAAAACCTGGGTGGAGTCACTCCCTGCCCCGGCTTGGTTTGGCCATTCCTCTGCTGCTGCTGCTACTGCTGGCAGATGGCAGATCTCTGTCAGTTTCTGTGGGCCTCTCTGCCTTTCAAAAAAAAAACTTTAAAAAAAAGCCCAGCTAGATGGGTATCTACCTTGTTCCCTCTGGGTAGGGACCAGGCTGGAGACGCCAGCGTCACCAACAGAGGCACGCCGTCTCTCACTGGTGATTGGTGATGTTAGCCTGCCACCTGCCGGTGAGTGTGCGGTCATGCAGAGGCCATGAGCTGGCAGTAGGCGGAGGGCTGGCACCTGCACTTGCAGTGTGTCCCGAGTTGTAGAGCTGCAGGGAACAGCCTGCTCCTCCCCTTCTCTCCCCACCACCCCCATGCGCCCTCCCAGCCATCCTGCCGGGCCAGCTCTGATGTCCCTGTGTATGAGGAGGAATGGGGTCCCTGGGTTTGGTGATGGTGGATGAGGAGCTGCTTGGGAGCTCCAGGAGAGGCCGGTAGGAATAGAGCAGAGGAGAGGCCCACAAAGGTGTGCGAGCAGGGCTCTGCAGCTTCATTCATGCCAGTTCTTCCTTTCCGACTTTCCCCTCATCTGCCCCAAACATCATGCCCAGGGCTCAGAGCTGAGTGGCCCAGCTGGAGAACCTGGGACTCATCCAGAGGCAGCATTTCTGCTTTGTCCTAGAGACCCCGAAAGGCTGCAAGAACCGGCAGGACCTGGCACAGGTTTCTCAACCTTGAACATGGTGCATGTTTTACCCAGGAGACCTGGGTCAAATGCAGAACTAGAGTTTAGAGGTCTGCAAGGAGGCCTGAGCTTCTGTTGGCAGGTGTGCCTGGCTGCAGGGCAGGCCACACGCAGAGAGGGAGGCCTCAGGTAACCCAGCCAGGAGGCAACTGACTGCCCAGCTGCCCTTCCCTTCCCCACACCGCTCTTACCGATGGTGGTGATGGTGGACACGGAAAAGAAGAAGGAGCCCACAAGCTCCCAGCGCCCCATGCTGGTGGTGTTGCTGAAGAGGTGGGCTCCATTCTTGTATGCTTGGATGATGTTCTGGGGGGGCAGGGAGGGGAGAAGGAAGGCTGCTGTGAGTACTTCATTCCTGCACCGCAGCACACCCATGTATGCTTGTGCACGCACACACGTGCACAATACATACTACACACATGCATGTAACACACGTGCGTGCACATTCAAGCACAGTCCTCAGCATCCTGTCTGGCCCAGCCCATGAGGCTGTACCCGTCTTACCAACCGAGGGCTCCCTAGGAGCAGTACCCAGTGCCAACTCTCTCCTCTCTCCTTGCCCCAGGGCCCAGGTCAGTATGGGGTTTGTGATGTCTCAGGGGGCTGGCAGAACAACTCTTTATTCCTCTGCTCACTTTTACTCTTGCAAGAGTGCCAGGCAGGGCAATATGCATGTCACAGTTAGAGAACCCGTGGACCACAGCGATCTCAGCCCTCAGGGGAACAGAGGTGAACTGGACGCTAACACGCTGTGGTCAGCGCGCTGCTCCAGGCTTTAGGAAGGTCCCATGGTTTCCTTCCTCCCTCCCTCCCTCTTTCTTTCTTTCTTTCTTTCTTTCTTTCTTTCTTTCTTTCTTTCTTTCTTTCTTTCTTTCTTTCTTTCTTTCTTTCTTTCTTTCTTTCTTTCTTTCTTTCTTCTTTCTTCCTTCCTTCCTCCCTCCCTCCCTCCCTTCCTTCCTTCCTTCCTTCCTTCCTTCCTTCCTTCCTTCCCCTCACTTTCCGTATCTATAGAACGGGAACCCTAGGGGCTGGCATCCCATGTGGGCCCAGGTTCAAGTCCCAGCTGCCCTACTTCTTATTCAGCTTCCTGCTAACGTATCTGCTAAAGGCAGCCTTTGCTGTGTTTGTGAAGTTGCTAAGCAGCAGAGGATGGCCCAGGACCTCTGCACCCATGTGGGAGACCTGTAGGAAGCTTCTGGCTCCTGGTTTCAGATTGGTTCAGCTCCAGCCATGGCATACATTTGGGGAGTGAACCAGAGGATGGAAGATCTCTCTTTCTGTCTCTGTAACTGCCTGTCAAGTAATTACTTTTTTTTTTTTGGTATGAGTACAGTAACAGTACCCAATGCAGCATGACTGTGAGAGTTGTAAGCACAGCATTCTCAGGCATAGGGTACCAGCAGCTGGGGGTTGTTTTAGCCAGGTCTCCCTTCCTTCAGCTGGAAGGTGAGATTACATTGGGGCCCTACCACTGGGCGATGTAAAAGTGGCTGGGCTGGGCTGGTGTCAGGCCCGGATGGAGGGGCAGGCCTCATCTGAGGTCACACAGCAGCCTCAGGTGTATTCTCTGTGGCAGCTGGCAGGGCAGGAGGGGCTGGTAGACCAGGAGGGGAGGCCCCTGTCCCCGGTGAGTGATGGAAGGGGCTGGCCCGCCTACAAGTAGAGAGTGGTCCTGGAGGCAGAGGGAGAAAGTCTGCAGGCGTGCTGGTCTCTGGCCCCATTTGGTCTGAGCAGTGAGGCAGGCAGTCGGGGTGGATGGATGAGGGCCCAGTGACAGACTGGGAGCAGGTAGAGGGTAGCACTGGGCAGGGAGAGTTGGGGCAGGGCTGGGCAGGGGGAGTTGGGCCTGGAGGAAATCGCCATCCTCCCTCCCAGGCTGCAGTCTCTGTTCCTCACCAGTCCCTTCCTATCCCACCCCGACCTCACCTTCCAACTCAACCCAGCCCGTGGCTTCAATCTGCCCCCAGGAACGAGAAAGTGGCGTCCAGGCCAGGTCTGCCATGAGGAGCACACACAACATGCAATTTCCTCCACTGGCTTCACTCAGACCAAACACATGGTGAAGAATGGCACAAGCTCTGAGCTAGTGGGAAATCTCTGAGTCTGTTCACCTCTACAATGGGCATGATGAGAATAGTATCTAGCTGGTAGGGGCAGAGGAAGAGGAAGGGTGCCTGGCACAAAGATCAGTTGTTGCTGTCACCCTCATGCTCCACCAGGACGACTTGGCTGGGGCGCAGCAGTGGGGACGGGCAGTCAATCTGCTCTGTTTGTCAAGGTTGCAGGTAGGGGTGGAAGCAGCCCCTGGGCTCCTTAGCAGAAGAGGTGGGCCTTGCTTGACCTCTGCTGCCCTGCTGGAGGATCTGGAGCCTCTCACCACAGCGCCGGCGGACCTCTCCTTGCCCTGCCGCGCTGCCCACAGAAAGCTGTGCGTACCTGACCCCGCGGTTGGCGCGTGGGCTCAGAGGAAGCGTCCGCGGAGGCCGCTCCACCTCTCCAGTCCTGCTCGCGGTCTCTGCTGTCCCGGCCCAAGGCAGCGCGCCTCAACCCTCCCTTCCACCCAATGGACTGCTGAGCCCTAAGCTCTTGCTGGCCCGCAAACTCCAGTTTGCGTGCACCTGCCGTCCTTGCCTCACAGTGCACTCCTTTGCACGCGGGTTCTCTGCGCAGCAGTGACTGGGCGCACCCTTCCTCTATTGGCCGCGCGAACAGGTGCAGTCTCGCCTTCTCTCCCCTCCCGCAACGCGCCGCCTCCCGGTTCTGACCCAGTCCTGAGGCTTGGGCAAGCGCACCCCTCCCTTGTCGTTCTCATTCCTAAGCCAGGATGAGCAGGCCCGGTTTTCCAAAAGCCCCTCACTGGATGGCGTGGAGGTGGGTGGTTCTTTCCGAGACCTAACCTTTGGTGAATTCCTCCCCTCCCCTTGGGTAAATGCCTCCCTGGGTTTCCCAGTCCCAGGATAGAAGGGACTCTGGGACCTGAGGCCCTGACCGGTTCGCCCCTAACCCGGATCAGCGAGTCCAGCGCTGGGCCGTCCAGGCAGGTGAAGTTCTGCAGCAGCGCCCATTTGTCACGCTGGAAGCTGAGGTCGGACTTGTGCGCTGCAGGGCCCTCCAGCGCCCAGAACACGCTGGTGCCCAGCGCCAGGTATGCCAGGTAGGCGAGCAGCAGGAGCGCAGTGACTGGCACCACGCAGCCTCGGGTCCTACCCTCTGGCACCGCCCGCGCTCGCGGCGGCCGGGACATCGGCGGGAAGGTGCGGCAGCTGGAGCGGTGGACCAGCACCCGAGGCCGGACCCGGAGCCCGGAGGATGCCTTCTGCAGTAGCTGCACGGACCTGGCACCCTGGTTTTCTCCGGAAGGGAGGAGAGCTGGGACAGCCCTGCCCACGCTGCCCCGGGACCCAATCCCAGGGACCAAAAGAGGCCCGAGCGGACCTCTGGCCCCTCCTCGATGGGTTCCTGGACTTCAGCTCCCCGCCCCGGCGCTGCGGACGCAGGACCGGGGAGAGGAGAGGGGTCCAGCACCTTCCCACCCTCAGCGGAAGCAGTGGGCGGGACTCAAGTGGCGGAAGAGAAAGTAGAGGCCAACTTTATTGTCTTAGGTCCCGGGTTCTGTGACTATCTCCACGGTTTGCCAGTCAGGTCCTGCTTAGCTCTCCCTGGCTGTGTGTCTCTAAGCAGAGGGACACAATCCCGGAGCTGCACAGACCACAGCAGCTCCCCTAAGTCCCTCTGCCACCCACAACAGAGCAGGGCCACAGGGCGTGTTGGTGGTCCATCCGCAGGGTTCCCTTTCCCAGCTCTGGCGTCTCTGGGGTCCCTCTGGCTGCTAGCTCCTTCCCTGCCTCCCTCCCCACTCCCCCAGCCTCCACCTGCCTCGAGTGCCGTGCACAGGAGGGCAGCACAGCCACTTAGAGACCTGTTGGCTGTGGGGGTGGTGGGGGAGAGACAGGGCATGTCCAAGGGCCGGCTGTGCTGGTTCTCTGGCTACCCCAGGGCCAGTGCGGGAAAGGCTGTTGAAAAGACAGGAGCCCAGGGGGAGCAGAGTCCAAGAGGGTCCCCTGGGTGTGGAGAAAGGAGTGGGAGGTCCCAGAGGCCCTTGTTCATGGCAGCTGTGGACCTGCAGGTGAGGGGCACGGGGGAGCTCTGAGAGGCAGCTCTGTATAGGGCAGTCATGCTTTGGGTCCTGAGACTGGTCCCGGTTTCTGCCTGGCACTTGCTATCAGCCCCCACCAGGGGTCCTCCTCCTCCTTGTGGGGTGTGTCTGCTCCCATCCTAGCATCTTGGCCACTGTGTTGGGTTTGCCTGTGTTTGGGTCCTTTCATTAGACAACAGGTGCAGTGAGGGATGCAACTGTCCACTCCACATCCCTGTATCCCAGAACCTGGCCTGGCGCCTGGTGCTTGTAGCCAGGCAGGCAAGGATAAAGGCAGCCTTCGCTGTGTTTGTGAAGTTGCCAGGCTGGGTGTGTGGGCACTGCTGTGGAGATCTGGGCCACACAGACTGCCCTGCGGGGACAGATACATGCGGCATTCACATGTGTATCTTTGGTGTTGCCTCTACTCTCCCCTCTGCTGCTTTTTTGGGCACATCTGTCTCCTTCCAGAGAGTTCCTGAGGTCAGCCCTGGTTCGGGGGAGTGAGTGGGTTCTGAGAAGAGAGGCGGGGCAGGAAAGGCAGAGGGCACAGAGTTGAGGGTAGAGTGGGGGAAGCTATGCGGGGGTTTCTGGGGCCACTTGGGGAGCGGCGCTCAGGCCGAGATGGGGATCTTCTGAGGTCTGGAGAGCCCCGCAGGGTCTGGGGAGGCTCTGTCCTTGAGGCCAAGGCCCCTGCTGAGCAGCCAGAGCTGGGAGCACCTGCGCAGGAGCAGCGGCCCCAGCGGCAGGATCAGTGCCAGCCATGCCAGGCCCACGAGGATCCACAGCGCCGCCAGGCTCCGGTAGATGGAGATGTAGTGCTTGTTGGGGTCCGTACCTGCCAGGGGAGGGGGCAGCAGCCATGCCTACGGTTCCCAGGGCCCCACGCTCCCTCCCTTTTTCCTTAATGAGCATCAGCTGCAGAAGTCCCTGGGGAAACGATTGGTACTGGGTCCCCAGATCTCTGTCCATGGCTACCCCATACGCTGCTGTGTCCCCTTGAAGAGCTGGAGGCCATGTGTGATGCTTGGCGGTGCTTCCTCCTGGCTTCTCCATCCCACGGAGCCCCCTGCCTGGCACCCCCTCCCTACCCTGGCATACGTGATCTTTCTGTTCTCACCCACAACGTAGTCTCCGAAGCCGATGGTGCTGAGGGTGATGAAGGCGAAGTAGAAGCCCTCGCCGAAGCTCCAGCCCTCCACATGGGAGAAGACCATGGGCGGGAAGATGAGAACGGCCAGCGTCCCCAGGATCAGGAACAGGGTGAGGCCCAGCACCTGCAGGAGCTGGGGGCAGGGCGGGACGGGGGTCTGCTGCTGAGCCCACTGGGAGGGCTCCAGGACGGGAGCAGAGTGGTCCCAGGCGAGACACCTGCTCTGTGTGTGTGTGATTCTGATCAGACCAGGGGATGCACAGGGCAGAAACAATGCATTTGTAGGGTCAAGGAGAGATTTCGAGAACCCTCTGGGCTTGAGGGGTCACACTTGAGCATTCCTTGTGGGGGCTCAGATCTGGACGAGGGACTATCCTGGAGTCCTCCGTACCACTGCACTCCTAAGCGTGGGCACTAGGGAGGGGGTGTTCTGTGTGGCTGTGGAGCCCATTTCTGGCCACACCGAAGGATGCTGGGACTCTGTGATGTCCATGCAGATACCCTTTAAGGAGGAATGGTTGGCCAGCTCTCGGTTCCAGCTCTAGCCATGGAGAACTTCTAGGCTGGAATTATACCTGTCTCTCCCCCAAGGGTTCCACGTGGAGCCTGGTTGGGGCTGAGCCTTTGTCTAGTGTCTCCCTCTGCCTCTGTCCTGACACCTGCCACTTGTCTTCTGTAGGTGTCCATCCCTACCACCCTCCCCCCGCCTCCCCCGTACCCCAGCCTCAGCCTGGGCACCTGCAAGTGCATGGTCACAGCAGGGCTGCCAGGGAGGGAGGGGCCCTACCTGGGAGCGCCTGGGCTGGTCTTCCCACCTCTCCAGCGTGCCCAGGTGGGCACGCAGGCCTGTGCCCAGGTGGTTGAGGAAGATCACATTGAGCGGGATCCCCACCAGAGCATAGAAGACACAGAAGATCTGCCCTGCCTCTGTGCTGGGTGCCAGGTTGCCATACCCTGCGGAGGGAGGGGACATGTGCACATGTAGAGACCAGGGTTCACAGCACATCTGCTTCCCCTCCCAGATGCCTCTTCCACCTCCTCTCAGGGAGGAGACCTCTTGCTGATCTCAGATGACACTGCCTCCAGGAAGCCCTCGGGAATGTCACCCTCCTTCCTCCTACTGGATGTAATTCCTTGGGGTGCTCTGAGTCATTCTTGTTGCTGATCTTCTTTGCTTAAATGTGCTGGATCGCACCTAACAGAGCACATGGGGAGGAGGAGCTAGAAGGGGTCTGAATGTTTCCTTGGGGGCTGGGTGGAATTTTTTTTTTTTTTTTGGCTGCAGAGTGCAGCGGATGCTACTGGGGTCCTGTCCCCTCGGGATACCCAAGGCATCACTTGCATCTTTTGAGGGACAGTTCCTGTACACAGATGACTTCTTACCCTGCATCCTACTTAAAGGTTTTTTGTTTGATTGATTTTTCTAGAGAGAGAGAGAAATCACATATCCATGACCGAATTCCTGCAACAGCATGGGCTGACCCAGGCCAAAGCTGGGAGCCAGGAACTCAGTCCAGGTCTCCCTGGTGGCTGCAGGAGCCCATCTCACCTGCTGCTCCCAGCGTTTGCATTAGCAGGAAGCTGGGGTCAGGAGAGGGCCAGAACTGCATCCCAGGCATCTCCAGTGGGATCTTAACCACTATGCCAAACTTTTGATTCTACCTGAGAGCTTTATGTACTAAAATTTATTTATTTTCATTGAAAGGACAGAGAGAGAGAGAGAGAGAGAGTCTTCCATGCATTTGGTCACTCCTCAAATGATTGCAGTGGCTGGGGCTGAGCTGTTTTGAAGCCAGGAGTCAGAGCTTCTTCTGGGTCTCCCACATGGGTGCAAGAACCCAAGGACTTGAACCATTCTCTACTGTGTTCCTAAGCAAATTAGCAGGAAGCTAGATTGGAAGTGGAGCAGCTGGGACTTGGAATGGCACCCAGATGGGACATTGTTGCCATAGGTGGAGGCTTAATGTGCTACACCACAGCACTAGTCCCAAGAGATTAAAAAAATGTATTTGAGAGGGAGAGAGAACAGATAAAGGAAGAGAGCAAGCAAGTGCATGTGAGAGCAAGCTGTACCATCTTCTGATTCACTTCCTAAATGCCCCATAATGTCTTAAATTGGAAGCCAGGACTCAATGCAGACAGGGTCTCAGTTCCTTGAGCCACCATGACTGCCGCCCAGGGTTAGCATCAATGGAGTCAGCAGCTGGACACACCCTTGGAAAATGTGGGGTTTTTAACCGGCATTTTAACAGCTGGGCTAAACACCTGCTCCAGCGGGCAGGCTTTCCTGTCTGCAGCTGTATGCCTGGTCTGTGGGACTGATGCACAAACCTGCAGGATCAATGTGCCCAAATGAAGGTCTTGAGCCCCCAGGGTGGGAGCTGGTGGATCATAGTCCCTCATCCTCCTCCCTCGTTGGAACTCTTCTGAGGGTGGGGTCCTCCCAGTCCCCGGGGGAGTCCTGAGCTGACCATACTCCTTAAGGCTAACATTGCTCCCTCTTCCTCCCACTTTCCTGCCCAGGCATCCTGAATTGTCTCCTAGCTCAACCATGTCTTTGTCTCAGCCTGGGGAGCCCAGGCTGGGACCCAGGTCGTGGGGCACTTCTGGTGCATCCCCACCCTTTTACCTATGGTGGTGACCACGGTGCCTGCAAAGAAGAAGCTGCTGCCGAAGTCCCAGTTGCTGGGGTTGGTGGAGTTGCCTTTCGGGTTCACGCCTTTCACCCAGGCTTCCATGATGACCTGTGGTGGGGAGAAGAGGTTGCGTAGGTAGAGGCGACAGAGGTGGGGTCCCCAAATTCTTTTTAGGGTGCATGCTTCCATGTCATGGCTCTTCCATTTCTGGGAAAATGGAACTAAAAGGTAAGTTGATTTTGGTGTCCCAAATTTTGAAACTCTACATAGGGTTTTCAGTGAAGTTTTTGGAGACCCCTTGTATGCATGAATGTCAAACATTCTTTACACCAAAATGTGCTCTTCTTCCCAGGGCCGGTGTTGTAGCATTAGTGACTTAAGCTGCCTGCAACATCAGCGTCTCATGTGAGCACCGGTTCAAGTTCTGGAAGTTCCATTCCAGCTCCCTGCTAATGGCCTGGGAAAAGCAATGTAAAATGTCCCAAGTGCTTGGGCCCCAGCCCCTCCATGTGGAGACCCAGATGGGGTTCCTGGTTTCAGTTGCA